TGTGTGTGTGTGTGTGTGTGTGTGTGTGTGTGTGTGTGTGTGTGTGTGTATGAGAGAGAAGGGGGAGTTGAGAGGGGAAAATGTAGGACAGAAAATGCAACACATGTGTAAAATACTAGTAATTTGACTAGCACACTCACCTGCAATTCAGAGAGTCGGACCGCTGTCTTAATGTTGGCTCTAGATACAATTGCATTTGTGAGCTGGTATCGGAAAGCATATGGGTTTGGGGTGACCACTTGATCATAGCGACCTGTGAACGGAACGGGTTCAGTGAGAGGTCATTCAGGGGTCATTGAGAGGTTTTTGAAGGGTCAATGAAAGGTCATTTAGGGGTCAGTGACAAGTCATTCAGGGTGAGTGAGAGGTAACTCAGGGGTCACCGAGAGGTCAGTACAGGGTCAGTGGGTGGTCATTTAGGGATCAGTAAAAGGTCACTCACGGGTTAGTGGGTGCTCATCCAGGGGTCAATAAAGGGTCATCCAGGGGTCAATAAGGGGTCAGCAGGGCATCAGTAAGGAGTCATTTTTGGGATCAATGAGAGGTCAGTGAAGGGTCAGTTACACGTCATTCAGTGGTCGGAGAGGGATCGTTGATCGTAAGAGAGTAATAAGAGAGTAAGCAGAGAGGGGTCATCTGAAGGGAACTAGTAATAATATTATGTGTATTCCTTAATGGTACAATGATTGTAATAGCTTATAATCAAAATTATTGCATCGCGTGTGCTCGTGTCAGCACTATAATAATATCAGCTGGTATAGTGTGTCTCGTCTGAGTAAGTATTAGTAACTATGACAATAAATGTGTTTCATTTGTGTGTGAGCTTTAGTGGCTATGGTTATTTGAATAACGTGTCAGTCTAGTCAGTATAAGTGACGTCAATTCTGAAATGCGTGTGTGCTCTTGTGGGCTTTCGTGGTCTGAGAGGTACGGCGTGCGCCTCTCAGACGCCAGATCCCTTGTTCGAAACCTGACAGCGACGAAGAGGCTGTTTTCTCGAGAATTTTTCTCCCTTGTTCTCCTTTCTTGTTCTCCAGACTTGTTCTCTTATCTGCTTTCCTTTCCATTCTCTCACCCCTTACTTCAAACCCCCCCCCCCCCCTTTCCCAGTCCCCTCTCGGTAATTCTCTCCCTTACTCCCAACTCTTTCTACTGTTACTCTTGGTTCTTTCTCTCAGCCACCCCACCGATCTTTAAGTGTATGTATGATTGAACCCCAGACCGTCTTGGATAAGGGCAAGAAATCTCAGAAGCCATGTGTGCAATATTCCACGGTTGCTGACCACAATCGTCTTTTTGGGTCTTGACGTGCCCTAGTGTGCCACTCGCCTTGTTATCGTGCCTCGAGACTGTTCAAATACATATACATGTATACCTACCCTTCGATACACTATTATACATCTGCTCTCTCAACATTATTCTAGACTTAAATGCTAGGGAGAAAAGTCAGGGTTGTACGTTGAAAAAAACCTGTAACTCACCTCCAAGGGTAAACTTGATGTTTTGTGTGAGGTTGAGGTCGAAGCAGAGGGACACATCCGGTACCTGGGAGTCCACATCCGTGGTGAACTCGTAGAAGTTCATGGTAGTCACGGACTGAGCGCGGGGGGGGGGGGTCAAGGTTCTTACTTTTTAATGAACGTTTTACGGCATGTGCAATGCAATTTGGTCATATAAGTGCCGAAGATCAAGAGAATAACGAAGGAGGAGAGACAAGGACGATAGATGTTTGATGGGAAAGAAGGAGAAAATTACACCGTAGCATCCGCCAACCACCCACTATGAAGGTGCAGTCTTTGGTCTCTGTTACGTACGTTTATTTGTTTGCTTATTTGATTCATTTTCTTTTTGGCTAGACAGGTATCTAAGAGTAGCGTCCTCACCTCCAAAATGATCTAAATCGTGTCGATGAGGGAGTAAGAGACACCTACATGCAGCGATGAGTCGCTTTGTCGTCGCACGCAGATGTGAGCTCAGCTCCAGTGCGGGTGGGATTTTTTAAATTATTGAGTATTACGCTTTTCTGTTGAGACATTGTATCTCTCTCGGTCAGGGAGATCTAAATTATCTAAATTATGTCTACAGGGATGTAGAACATTTTTACAGTTACATGTCGTCGGCTGGCCGTTCAGAAAAACAAACCCCCGAATTTGATTTTTTCCTTATTGTGGTTTTTAAATAACTGTGGAATCAGTAGCAGGTGCTCCAGAAATATCTTGTCGAAATTCAAATTTTATGTATGTTGAGAGGGGGCTCTCGTGGTCTCGGGGTTAAGGTGTTCACCTCTTATTCAAAGGTCCCGGGTTCGAATCCGGGTAGCAACCGAAATATTTTCTTCTCTAAAACTGTCTCCTTTCACCTCCTTTCCTGCTCTCTAGCAATATTCTGTCGTCTGCTTTCGTCTCCACTTTCTGCCCCCACCCCCTCACCTCCTTTGCCCCCTCCTCTGGGCTTCTGACTCTTTTTGCAGCCTTTCTACTGCTACTCCTTGGTTCCTTACTGCTGTCTTTCAGCCACACCCCTGATCTTCTAGTAGGAAAGATCGGCCGCCCTTCGGGCTAAACTTCAAAATGTTCTACCAACTGAAAATGGTTAATGTGTCCTGCGCGCTCATATGACCTTGTGCAGTTGCGAGCGCCGTGTTGAAAAAAGCAAGAAAAGACACTTACACGGGGTATAATCAAAATCCTTACCAACATAGCCTCCAAAACCACATCGCCAAACTGGACAACAGCTGCGATAAATTTGACATGGAAATAAGCACATCAAAAACAGAAATATGAACATTAGCCGAAACCATGGTCCTCTGAACATTCATGTCAATAATAAACAACTAAAACAAGTCAAAGATTGTAAATATTTAGGCAGCATTTTTTCCCCTGGCATCGGACCTATGTAGACAGAGAAATAAAAACACGAACTCAAAAAGCCAACACCGTCACAAATCAGCTCGCACCCCTTCCATCTCATCCAAACGTCTGCATGGACTCAAAGAGAAGGCCTATCACTTCAATATGTATACCAACACTATGCTACCAGTGCCAGATCCGAACATTAAGAAAAATCCCAAGAAAGCAAAATCACTGTTTTCAAGATGGCATGTCTCCCGCAAAACCCTTAACACTTAACATCATGAGAAGAATAATGCAGAGAAATGAAGAAGTAAAAACAACTATTTGGCATGTAGTCCTGTCTGCATTTCATAGAAAAACAAATAAAATAGTTTGGCCACCTGCTGCGTATGTCACGTAGCCATCCAGCCTCGAGAGCCTATAAGACCAAGTACTCAGGCTATAGAGGAAGAGGAAGGCCACGCAAATAATAATACGGATGGAGGGAGCCAAGGGAAACCTGCGAAACTATAACATGCCAATTTAAAGGGCTGCAGAGATAGCCTACGGTACCTTAAAAGTTGGATTTCTTCGCGAGCTTAGCGGCAACAGAGGATGAAAAAGTTTAATTAAAGTAAGTAAGGAGTTCTTGTTTTCGTCTCTATGCTTGTTCATTTGTCTTGCTTTTGATGAAAAAACCCATTAATCTTGAGTAGAGGTCGAGATATTTGTCCTTCAAGGAGGTAGAGGTCGCCTGATATCAGATAGGTAGAATTAGCGAGAAAATGGCCGCAAAAATGTGATGATCTCCAAATCCAAAGCTTGGGTGTCTTTGGGATCTGCAATTTTACTTTAATGTACCTTTAATCAACTTTTTCCTGTGAAATCCACATAAAGATGTGTTTTGCAAGGATGCAAAAGACGTGGACCCCCCCCCA